CCCCCCCCCCCCCCAATCCATTTCCCATGTGTGAAGGGGCTGGAGCTTGAGGCTTTCTTGAGGCAATTCCAGCTGTGGCCATCTGTGACAAAGCCTGATGGTTCTATAGCAAGCATGGGACTTGGTGCCTCCAACAGGAAGCCTTCCCTGGCGTCCTCTTCACTGTGGTAATCTTTCCTATAATGTGATGTTCTTTTTTATGGTGCTTTGCTTGTTTCTTTCCAGAGGAGCATTCTCTTCCTCATGCCACATTCCTGCTTTGAGAGTTCTCTCTCCTAGGCTCAGGCTGTAGGAGCTGGAAGATTCTCTAGGAGTGGTCAGGAGTCTATCACTTTCTGAGGGTCACAGAGACCCCTCTGCGAATCTGGTGGGAACTAGGGCTTTTCTTTCTAGAAAATGGCACAGAGACAAAATTGTACAATACTGTTTGGGGGCTTACAACCTTCCTAGGGCCTTTCTGAGACTGAAGCTAGGAACCCCTAGCCATGGCAGGTAGGTAAGTTCAGTCCAGAGAGGGCTGTGGCAGCTGGTAGAGGAACTGGTATTAGAGTCCAGGGCCATTCACTCAACCCAGCTGCCCTTTTATTGTATTCTTATTTTAAATCAACACATAATAATCGAGAGCAGGACCATATCAGCATTATTGCACAGACCCCAGGTGCATGGCATGTGAGCACTGTGGGATGATAACTTGGGGGGGGACAGGACGGGGGGGCGGGGGATCTGTGGCCTCCTACAGAACTCCCTGCTTAACTGCCCATGTCCCCTACAGACCGACAAGGAGCAGCTGACGGCTGAGGCCAAGGAGCTGCGCCAGAAGGTCAAGCATCTGCAGGACCAACTGAGTCCGCTTGCCCGGCAGCGCGAGTACCAGGAGAAGGAGATACAGCGGCTCAACAAGGTGAGTGCCAGGTTGGCCGCCCAGCGTATCACTCAGAAACGGTGACCGTCCCCACGTTGTCAGGGAGCTGGTGTCACACGGCCTCTGCATTCCCCCCACCCCGAGGGATGTGTCTCTGCGATGTGACCTATGTGGCCCCTCCCTCCAGGCCCCGGCAGATGCCACCTCGCCCAGAGGTACACACACCTCCGTCACCTACCCACCCAGCCCCTCTGTCATGGTCAGCCTTACCGTCACTCCCCCGCGAAGCCAGGCCTGAGTCTCATCAGGGTGCCCTGCTCCGTGCTCCAAAAGTACCAGCACCTCCCTTCACACCCTGCACACATTCCTTTGGGGTCCTTATGTAATTCTGACTTCCCATCCAGCGTGGGAGGTGCACGGCTTCACCAGGGTATACTCCCCAGCACCTTGCACTACACTGGTACTAGGCACGTGTTCCAGAAATACTCGCTGCAGGGCCAGGTGAGCCAGTCCAAGGGCTCCTGCCTTGTGACTTGGGATCCAGGAGATGGCCCCAGAATGAGGCTGGGAAGCAGAAAGAAGCCCTCTACTCTGAGGCAAGGTGGGGCGTCAAGTCCCAGGGTAGCCACTCCAACCTCTCAGCCTCTGCTTCACCCTCTGTGCGCTGCTTGAAATGTCTCTGGCCCTCCCCACCTCCCAGGGCAGGGTTCAAGGGGCAGCCTGAAGACTTAGTTTGTGCCCAGTCTTCCTTCTGAGCCGCTTTTTTCCTTCCCCTTTGCCTCCCGACCTGACCACAGTGGACTCTGGCATGAGTCCAGTATTCCTAGGCCTACTGAGGAAGCCTTTCTGTTCAGTTCTGGTGTTTGATAAGCACTGATTATGCCCTTGAGGCCTGTTCCCAGAGAAAAAACAATCACGATCCGTCCTGAACGGGGGAACTCAGGGTCTAAGTCCAGGAGGATATTGTTGCTGCTGCTGCGGTAGAGATGGCTTGCAGATCTTCTTGGCAGAGTTGGGAACAAAGGCACCATGTGGATGAGAGGTGCAGGCAGGTGGCCTGTCCCTGGACCGCAGTCTTCTCATCTAAAGAGTGAGGGTGGGGGGTGACGTGGAGCCACAGCTTCCCCTGGAGCATCTGAATTGACTCTTGACCCAGCAGCGTCCCAAACACACGGGCGCTGAGGAAATCTGGGGAGAGTGAGCATGGCCACGTCCCCACTGGCCAGGTCTCCTGTCTCCCTGGTCCAGGGAAACACCAGGGCGGGGCAGGGCGAGGCAGCTGAGCAGAGTCCTGCGTCCAGGGCTAAGTCCAGGTGGGGTAAGCCCAGGGTGCCTGGCCTCGAGAGGGACTCTGAGTTCTAAGTCACAGTTAGCAGAGTCAAAGGAGAAAAACAGTCCACAGAGGCCTTTCAGAAGATGCGAGCACACTGTTTACACAAAGGAGACTGTTTTGTGAACATGGCAGATGGAGTGCTTTTCTTCTGCTGTTTTCTCAATGTTGTCTAGTGATGTTTCAGCTCATTTGCAGCGTTAGAAAAGTAAAATATTAACTAGGTAGAAATTGAAACTCAGTCTAATCTGACTCTAATCCAGCCATGGAAGAGCTGGTTTGGGTGGGGAATGCGTTGCTGAAGTGGAAGAATTTCCATGCAGGACAGGTGTTGGGAGATGCATCCCCCAAAAGGCTTCCTATTCCCTTTAGGTCTGGATACTAAGGATTGAGCCACACCTCTTGGGCTGGCAGTAGTGATGCATGCCTGTAGTCCCAGCTTCTTGGGAGGCTGAGGCAGAAGGATCACTTGAGCCCAGGAGTCTGAGGCTGCAGTGAGCCATGACTGCACCACTGCACTCCAGCCTGGACAACATAGCAAGACCCCATCTTTAAAAAAAAGGAGCTACATGTCTTCAGGGAGGGGTGCAAGTCCCTCTTGTACATGAGGACCCACATACTGGGTTTAAATCTCTGCTTTGCCACTTACTGGTTGTGTGGTCTTGGACAAGTCACTTCAGGTCGCCGAGCCTCATCTTTCATATCTGTAAAATGGGGATGATGAGTGTAGCCTTTTCTTCATAGGAACGTTCAGAGGATTCAGTGAAATGATGTATGCAGATTGCTATTAAATAAGGTAGCATTATTAAATAGTACTAGTGGTGGTTTTTATTATTATCATTATTATCAAGAAGGAGGTCTCTGAGGATGACCTCTCCAAGGGACCTGACGTCCGGGGGTTCCTGCTGATGGTCCCATCTCCTCTCTCCCTGATCCCAGGCCCTGGAGGAAGCGTTGAGTCTCCAGGCCTCCCCTTCATCACCCCCGGCGGCATTCGGGAGCCCCGAAGGAGCTGGGGGCCTCAGGAAGCAGGAGCTAGTCATGCAGAATGAGTTGCTGAAGCAGCAGGTGAGGCTTGGTGCATGCAGGGGGTACTCAGTGGGAGCTAGAGGGGCTTGAGATCACGCAGAACCCGTAATTAGCCTTCCACTTTCTGGCCACAGGCCAGGACCCCTGCCTGACAGTCCCAGCAGTGGGCAAAGTCGTTCTTCTACCACGTTGTGATTCAGCCATGTCTGTGTCCTACCTAGGCTAGTGTTTACCTAGTATTTTAACAATAAATTCTAAATAAATGTACTTAAATGGGAACTTGTTATCACTACTGTAAATGGAAAAACCTATTTACTGTCATAAATAGAAAATGGCTGTAAACAATAAATACAATCAAAACAAGACAGTGTTTCTAAACTCTAGCAACAAAGACCCTGAACGTGAATTCTTTCCCCTCCATTTAAAGGAGATTGGCAAGTCCTAGGGGGCGTCAGAGCCTGTGAACACAGAACAGAGACTTTCTCCTTGAGGGACAGGGAAGTGAAAGTGAGAAGGCTGTGGCTTTCCCATGTGTATCTTTGCTGTTTATTCCTCTGCTTTGGGTCTCCCAAATCACCTGGAACCCAGTCAGCATCTCAGCTGATCTGCAGTGAGGACACAAAGCCACAGGCCAAGTGCCAGGGCAGGGCCCCAGCCCGCCTCTGCCAGGCCCCTGAAGCCTGGGAGTCTGCAGGCCTTCTGCTCTGGGAGCCAGCAGACCTGCACTCCAAACTTCCACCACACTGCTCCTCTGGTCTCCACCCCACAGACCTCTGCAGAATGAAGGATTGTGCTGATTAATGACTTTCAGTCTATTTTTTTTTTTTTTTTAGCAATAGATGCTTTGTTCAAATAATCTGAGCTTGTGGCGTAGAATGTAAGATAGAGGGAAGTTGGGGTGGATAATGGAGGTGCACCTGTCCCACTCCCCACAGTGACCCCCAACTGCTGCCTGGGACCCTAGCAGGAGGCCTGGGGCCTGGGCTGAGCAGGAGGGAGCCTCTCCTCCCCCCTCACCGCCGCCCTCCCACCCACTCCAGGTGAAGATCTTCGAGGAGGACTTCCAGAGAGAGCGCAGCGATCGAGAGCGCATGAACGAGGAGAAGGAGGAGCTGAAAAAGCAGGTGGAGAAGCTGCAGACCCAGGTCACCCTGTCCAACACACAGGTAGGCGCGCTGGAACCAGGGCAGCAATGGGCCCGTCCCCTGGGGAGGGCTGGAGTGGAGGGGCCTGGAGACACGGGATGTCAGGACACTCACTGATTCTCTTTCCCGTTCTGCTGCTAAATCTCTCAGACCTGACAAGTCCTTTCTCCTCTCTGTCCCCTTTTCTGTACCTTGATGAGATTTAAGCTGCCTGCATGGCTGACCTTCAGTTCTGATGCCTTAGAGGAGCAAATTTAGGAACTGGTTTTGAGCCACCTGCTCTCACAGAGTGAATGGAAAGATGTCAGGTAGCGTAGAGCTGCGGGGCTCATGCGAGCCCCTGACCTGTGCCCAGTCACCAGGGTGAGCGGAGCAGGATGAGTGGAGCCCCTGCAGCTGACAGCCTGAGCTGTACTTTGCGCTCAGGACCCTTCCCTGGGGCTGGCCCAGGCCTAGAGGCCCAGAGAGGTCCTGTGCCACAGCCAGGCCACTCTCGGGCTAGTCAGGGCCTGGATCTGGAATTGGCCAGGAACTACCTGTGTCTTCCTCCTTCCTTCTTAGCTAAAAGCATTCAGAGACGAGGAGAAGGCAAGAGAAGCCCTCAAACAGCAGAAGAGGAAAGCAAAGGTGAGGAGGCTTGAGGGAGGAGGCAGCCCTATCTCATCTGACCTGCCTCAGAGAGCTAGTCTGATGGCAGACAGTGTGCTCAGATATCTCAGCTAACCACTGAGCTAATAACCACTGAGCAGTCATGGTATAGAGTCAGTGCTCAGGACATGTTCGCTGCCATCCTTGTTGATATTCAGTGACCAGGCAACATCCTCTGTGCCTGTGAACCAGCCTTTTGTGTCCATATCCTGCTGTCTGTAACTGTACCAGCTGTCCATACACATGTGCCAGCCTCTACCCGTGTGCCAGCTTTCCATCCATGTCTCCACCAACCTCCTGTACCTGTCTGCCAGACTTCCATGCACATGTGCGAGCCTTGTGTACCCACGTCCCACATGCCAACCTTCCCTGCCCATGTGCCGGCCTTCTCTTCCAATGTGCCAGCCTTTTGTACCTGTGTACCAGCCTTCTATGCACATGTACCATCCTTCCATGCCCCTGACAGCCTATGTACCCACCTTTCCATGCCCACATGCCAGCCTTCTTTACCCACACGTCAGCCTTTCCTGCCTACACGCCAGCCTTCTGTGCCACATACCAGTCTTCTGCTTTCATGTGCCAGCCTTCCTGCCCACTCACCAGCCTTCTGTGCCCACATGCCAGCCTTTCAGGCCCACACGCTAGCTTTCCCTGCCCGTGCACCACCCTTCCATGCCCTTGTGCCGGCCTTCAGAGAGCTGACCTTCTGAACAGAGGGAGGGGGCTGCCATGGGTGTCACCGGGGTGGGCAGTGCTGCCTGTTGCAGGCCGACCCCAACCGAACCTCTCTTGCAGGCCTCAGGAGAGCGCTACCACATGCAGCCCCACCCGGAGCACCTGTGTGGCGCCTACCCCCACGCCTACCCGCCCATGCCAGCCATGGTGCCGCACCATGGCTTTGAGGACTGGTCCCAGATCCGCTATCCCCCACCCCCTATGGCCCTGGAGCACCCGCCCCCACACCCCACCTCACGCCTCTTCCATCTGGTGAGTCTGGGTCCCTCCTCGTTCCAGGACGTGCAGGGCCTGCCCCAGACGCCTTCCGAGAGGAAGGTCGGTGAGGCTCAGAAGCTGCATCTGCGGTGCCACCTGGCAGCTGTGGGGTGGGCAGGGTCCAGGGCCTGACTGGGCCTGCTGCTGGGGCAAGGGCCCTGCAGCCCACGGCCCTTAAGGGTGCTGGGGAAGGACGGAGCAGGCTGAGAATGTGGGAGGGAGGAGGACCCCCCCGACCAGGCTGGGTGTCAGAGTTTGGGTTGGATTCCCTCATAACCTCCTCAAGTAACCTGGTTCCAAAGCCTCACGTGCTTCTCTCCTTCCTCTGCCTTTTCTCTTCTCTTTTTTTGCTTTCTTTTTCTTCTTGCCGTTCTTCCTCCAGTGATCGCGGTCACCTGTCCCATCTTCTCCAGCGCCTCCACCACAGGCCCCCAGCCCTCCTCTTCTGTCGCCAGAGCCTCCTGGCTGGCCTCTCCTGAGTGCCTCCCCATATGGTCACCCTCGACGCTAAGTCTAGTGTGGCTTAAGAGACTGGCTCTGGCCGGGTGTGGTGGGTCGCACCTATAATCCTAGCACTTTGGGAGGCTGAGGTGAGAGGATTGCCTGAACCCACGCGTTTGAGACCAGCCTGGGCAACTTGGTGAGACCTCATCTCTACAATAAATAAAAAAATTAGCCGAGCATAGTGGCGCATGTCTGTGATTCCAGCTACTCGGAAGGGTGAGGTGAAAGGATCACCTGAGCCTAGCAGGTTGAGAATGAGGTGGCCATGAGTGTGATTCCAGTCTGGGCAACAGAGTGAGACTCCAACTCAAAAAAAAAAGATTGACTCTGGAGTTTGAAAGACCTGGATTCAGGATCGAGGAATTCCTCAGGCCTGCTGTGTTCAGACATCACTGATCTAGGCACTCAGAACTGCTTGCCTCAAGTATGTCATTAGCTAGAAACGTTCCTTGGAGCTTTCAGATAAATAAATAGAAAAATCAGCTAACTGGATACTCACCTCACAAAAAAAACAACAAAAACTGGGTTCAAATCCAAGTTCAGTCACTTTCCTAGCTGGGTGACCTCTAGCAAGTTACTTAACCCTTGTGAGCCACCAGTTTCCTTCCCTGTAAAATGGGAATGTCAGCCTGGGTTTCCTGCAGTGTTTTTTTGTTTTTGTTTTTTTTTGAGTTGGAGTCTCACTCTGTTGCCCAGACTGGAGTGCAGTAGCCGCTCCCGGCCACTGCAGCCTCGACCTGCTGGGCTCCGGCAATCCTTCTGCCACCCTTTCAAGTAGCCGGAATTACAGGTGCACGCTACCATGCCCAGCTAATTTTTGATTTATTTCAGAGACAAGGGCTCGCCAAGTTGCCCAGGTGGGTCTTGAACCCACAGGCTCAAGCAATCTACTCGCCTTGGCCTTCCAAAGTGCTGGGATTACAGGCTGAGCCACCGAGCCCAGCCTATTGCAGTGTTTAAATTATAGTTAAGTAATACATAGTATAGCCCTCGCACAGCAGCTACTATTGTAACCTCCATGTGTGGTCGTTGATTATTAAGCCCCAGTTTTGTCACAGCCAGAATATACCTGGCGCGTGCCCTGTGGAGGTGTTCGAAATCCCAATCCGATCTCCCAAGTGACGGACCTGCCCCCAGCCAGGCCTACAGAACCAGGTGAGTGTGAGTCCCAACTGCCGAGTCTTGCCCCTCCCTGGAAGATTACTCTGCCTGCCAGGGATGCCCGTGTGTGTGTGTGGGGGGGGTGCTACTTTCTGATCTCGGTGGAGGAGAGGCCCAGCTTTCCAAACAGTGCCGAAAGGCGAGTGATGGTGGCTGAGGACAAGGGGACTGAGCCGCTCATCCACTCATTCTAGTGTACTAAGGGCTTGGCACTGTGCGGGCGCCAGGGAGCCTGGGCATGCAGAAGCAGATACAGGCCCCACCCTTGCAGAGCACTGCCTCGTGAGGAGGCAGAGACCAGTGAACGGACACCCACCAGTGGGCTGCACTCAGGCATCCTGGAGGGAAGGGAAGGTCTCTGTGAGCACAGGCAGCAGAGAAGGCTCACCTGGGGGGACTTGGGAGAACGCCACTGGTGGCAACACTTGGGACCCTCAGCGTGAGTGGCACTAACCAGGAAGAGAGGTAGGAGTGGAGGGTGTTCTTGCAGAGAAACATGACAAGCACAGAGGCCTTGGGGGCAGGCAGGGAGGGCGGCTGACTGGAGGATCTAAGGGAAGACTGGCATGGCAGGTGCTGAGATCAAGGCTTGGAAAAAGAGGGGTTGAAAGAGCAGGACCAGCCTGGCCCAGACTGTGCAGGCTGGTGGAGCATGGTGCGAGGAGGCTGGGCTCATCTCAGAGTGCCTGGAGTCGGCAGACGTTTCTAAGGTAGAGGGCATGTCCAGATTTGTGTTTGAGAGCTCCCTCTGGCTTGGTGTCTGCCAGGAGAGGCTGAAGGCAGCGCCTCGCTTGTGGGGCCTGGGTACAGGACACAACCAACGGGTGAGAATGACACGGGAGGCTGAACCTACCTCATCGTGAGGAAGAGCTTTCTCAGAGACACAGCTATGCAGAAATAAGGCCGGCTCTGCCAGGAGGTAGTGAGTACCCCATGGCAGAAGGTGTGCCAGCAGAGGTCCCAGGACGGGCAACTTGGGCTTGTGACTTGGGAGGCAGTGACTGGCTAGTCATTTTCTAATAGTTCCTGTAGAGCCCTGAAGGGTCAGGGGAGCCCTTTGGAGGCAGCTTTGATGAGTGGCAGAGGGTGGTCTAGTGGGCAGGCTATCCCCTCCCCCAGAATGGTGGTGATTCTGGGACCTGGAAGCAGATCCCGACTCCACTGCTTCCTAGACCTGGGACTCTGGGCGGGTCTTAAAGCCTCCCAGCATCCCAGTTCCCACTTCCACAAGGGGCTGAGGAAGTGCCAACTCCGTCAGGCTGGGTGAGGGTGCCGTGACCCGGGTCTCTAAGGACCTAGCCCAGGCCTGCCACTCAGCAGTGCGGCTAACCCAGTGGTGATCGTCACTGTGACTGACTCTTACTGTACCACGTAACCTTGAAGTCCTCAAAACTTGTTTCTTTAGAGTCTGCAAAAGATGACCGGGAGGGACCTCAGTGAGGCCACATCCTGTCACTGGCTCCGCCTTGCTTCAGAGCCACTGACCTCAGATTGCCGAACACCTCGAGGCCATGTGCTCATGTGGCCAGAGCCTCAGCTGGCAGGAGGCTAGGATGGTGACCAGCTCATGCCCCGGCCCCGACTGGCTGTTTACGAGGCTGAGGAGCATCCACCCAGGCCTCCACTGGGACACTTCCTCTAGGAGTGACTGGAAAAACTCACCACCCACCTCGGAGTGGGGAGAGGCCTCACCAGCTCTGACTTGCTGTGCTAGAGTGGGGTGCAGCCGATACCCCGTCCTCCAGAACCTCCCAGAAGCGACACCAGCCCTTCCAGGGCCACATCCAGTTCACGTGTGAGTCGAGTTTTGGCTTCATGCTCTGTTGCGGGACCTGCCCACGCCCATCCCTACCTCTGGAGGAGCTGCAGGAAGAGCAGAAGAGAACACAGGGTGTTCTGGCCCCAGGGCACTCTCCACCCCACCCATGGTGCCGGCTGGGGCCCCGTCCACACCGCCGACGGGCCCCAGCATGAAGCTGCTGGGCCCTGAAGTGCAGGCCTTGGCCCTACAGCTGGAGGCCTGTGGGGCCCAGGCTGGGGTGGCTGTCCATCCCTGGGCAGCGGTTTGCACGAACCTTAGACATAAATCCGAGTGGAAGGTCGACATTCTGTGACTTGTGTCCTTTCCTGCCCCTGACACGTTCCCTTCTCAACCAGCCGGAGTGCTGTCCTCCAGCCCCCTCCTCTCCTTTCCCCATCCCCGAGTGCCACCATTGCTCTTGGCTGGCATCCTCTGGGTACAGCAGGGCCTTCCTGGGGTGGAGCGCCCAGGGGCAGTGCACAGAGCCCAGGCTGAGCATTGGGAGACCCGGGGTAAGTTGCAGGCCTGCCCCTCCCTCCTCAGGAGACACTGGCAGGCCCGGCCCTTCTGTGGGCCTGTTTCCTCACCTGCAGGGGGAGCACGTCTTGACCCTCACTGCCTTGGGGAACTGTGGGAGGGAGCAAGAGCAGATGAGGACTGGCTTTATGAACTCCAAATGCTGTCTGAGAGAAGCCGAGTGGGCTAGCTGGAAGCCAAAAGCAGGGGCCCAGAGCACTCTCTAGTTTCTCTTTTTTTAGAGACAGGGTCTCTGTCGCTCAGGCTGGAGCACAGCAGCACGGTCATAGCTCATTGTGCTGTGACCTCCTGGGCTCAGGTAGTCCTCCCACCTTAGCCTACTGAGTAGCTGGGCCTGCAGGTGCACGCCACCATGCCCAGCCTCCTCATTTCCTTTCTCTCTCTCTCTCTCTTTTTTTTTTTTTATTTATTGTAGAGATGAGGTCTCACCAAGTTGCCCAGGCTGGTCTTGAACCCTTGAGCTCAGGCAATCCTCTCGCCTCGGCCTCCAAGAGTGCGGGGATTACAGGCTTGAGCCACAGCACCCGGCCCTCATTTCCTTTCCTATCCTCCCACCTTTGCCCTGCCCTGCTCTGTCCTCCCTATTCCGTCCCACCCAGGCTGGGGTGGCCGCCCTTGAGGAATCACCACAGTGAGCTCAGCTGCTGCAGAAAGGCCTTTACTGGGCAGACGGGGTGTGAGCCTAATGCCAACGGACCAGGGCGAGGGGCGAGGGCACATCCTCCGAAGGAGCAAAGGTGGCATCCCTGCCCGGGGGCCTCAGCCTGAATGCACTAAGGGCTGGCCCCTCAGACAGGCTCAGGGGAGGTCCGCCCACGAGGGCTTTGGGCCCCTCCCTCATGAAGACACCACCCCTGACATGGGGTACATGGCCCTTGCTCTCACATGTGCCTTGGCAGATCTTGGGGAGGACGCGGGTGGGGTGGAGCCTTGGGAGGGTCCTTCAGGAAGGGGGGGGTGGGCAGTGTGGTGGACACGGGGTGGGGTGGGCACCGGCTACTTTCCCCGGGCTTCCAGGGCTGCCTGCCGCCGCATGTAGGACAGAATGTCCATCTTGACGTTGCTGACCGTGGTCCGGTGGTACCAGCGCATAACGGGTTTACCATTGGGGCCCACCAGGAACTTCTCAAAATTCCAGCGGATGTCATGGACCTTCATGGGTTCCCAGAAGAGGCGGCCAGGGGAGCCCAGGAGCTCTGAGGTGGGAGGACAGGAGTTCTGGAGCAGGCACAAGAGAGGAGGGGGCGTCAGTCCTGCCAGGGCCCTCCCAGCCGCCTCCTCCCAGGCCTTCCTGCTGGGAGCCCAGCCTGGCACGGAGAAAGAGCACCTGTCCGGGAGCGAGAAGACTAGCTGCCAGGCACAGCTGGGCTCCAGACCCTGCGCGAGTCCCTTCTGGGCCCCCTGCCCCCTCCAATCTGGGCCTTTCCTGGAAAATGGGTCGATGGACCCTAGGGTCCGCAGAGCCCTCCAGTCGGAACAACAACCAGATGCCAAGCAGTTCCCAGAGCCCAGGAGCAGTGCTGGTGCCCAGCCACCAGGCGGCGCCCACTCACCTTCAGGAAGGTGTAGAACTTCTGCTCTTTGTCCCCGTTCACATCCCCTTTCTCAAAGAGCTGGAAATTGGGGACGTAGCCCCCGCCAGGGCGGACATACCTGTGGGAACGGACTTAAGTGGGTCCCCAGGGGGTGGGCACAGGGTTCAGGCCCGAGAACAGGCTGGACTGATTCCACAGTGGGTAGAGGAGCCCGTGGGCAAGCAACAGGCATGAAGTGGGTCTTCTGTCCCAGCTTGGTCCCTTCTCAGCATCCCTCTGCCCCTGTACTCCCTCTCATGCACATCACAACGAGTTGTCCCTGTCGCCACCCCTCTCCCACCTTTGCCCTTTCCCTCATTCCACGGGGTGGGGCTCCTAGAAAGGAGAGTGGTTCTTGGCAGCTGATAAACATCACCACGGCTGGCCACAGTGGCTCACACCTGTAATCCCAGTACTTTGGAAGGCCGAGGTGAGAGGATCGCTTGAGGCCAGGAGTTCGAGACCAGCCTGGGCGACATAGCAAGACCTCGTCTCTACAAAAGATTACACAATTAGCTGGGTGTGGTGACACGTGTCTGTGGTGCCAGGTACTCAGGAGGCTGGGGTAGATGGATCGCCTGAGCCCAAGAGGTTGAGGCTGCAGTGAGCCGTGATCGTGCCAGTGCACTCCAATCAGGGCGACAGTGAGACCCTGACTCAAGAAACAAACATCTACCACATGGGCCATGGTAGAGGAGTCTCCCAGGGCTCTGAGCACTCACTTAAGGCTGGGAAGGATCTCGGAGTTCTCTCCTGGTTCTTGTTTTCCGAATTGGTTGCAGGGGAAGCCCAGAATGACCAGGCCGAAGGGGGCCAGCTCTTCCTGTAGTGCATTCAGTTCTAGATCGGCAGAGAGAGCAGACATGGGCAGCCTGCCGAGGATCTTGGTCCCTCCTTGCCACCACCCTCCCGCTCCCCCATTGTACAGCCACTGAGGCCTGAGAGGAGAAAGGACTTCCCCGAGACCACCCATGAGCTCATGGCAATGCTGGGACTCAGGTCCCATCCTACTGACTCCAATCTGGACGGACAGGAGGTTTTTGGAGGAGAGAAAGGCCCTTCCTCCAGCTGGCAGTCTGCCAGCCACCTACAGTCGAGGCTGGCCACCCGGGCAGTTTGGTGGAACACTCAGGCCCTCGGGATTCTTTCTGGAGCAAGAGCCACCCATCCCCGGGCGGACGGCAGAGCACCTCCTGGGGTGTGGCGGCACCCTGGGCAGCACACCCAGCTGTCTCCCACACAGACGCATGCCACTCTGTTCCAAGGGCTAGACTCGCGTTCTAGACAGCGTGCACTGACACCGGTCCGCGCAGCCCCGCCCTTCTACTCCGGGAACCATTCTGCCGGTGATCACCAGGCAGCACGTCTGGGTTGGCTTGTCCCTGCCTCCCCGGCCCTGCCAGCCGCTGCTCAGCCCCAGCGGTTCCTTGGAGTGCTGTCACGTGCCTGTGGCCTGCCTGTTCCCTCAGGCTTCTGACTCTGCCCCAGCTAGGAGGACAGGACTGAAGACATTGCAGACTCTGAGTGGCTTGGTCCTGCCACAAATAGCTCTGTGGCCCTGGTTAAGTTGTGTCTGCACGCCCAGCCTTGGTGTCCTCTTGTACATTGAGGCGAGGGGAAGGCTAACTAGATCATGTTCAAGGTTTACTTTAGAATGCACGTGAGAAAAGTAGTCTGCCCCCTTCAGGCCTTCATGCTGTGGGGCCTCAAGCCAGTTGCCTGCCTTCCAGAAGAGGCCCAGAAAAGCACCCGGGCGAACGGGGCTGAGGGAGATGAGACATTCTTGGCAAGGTGAACCCCAGCCACCATCGTACTGCAAAGAGAGCTCCGGGCTCCCCCATCCCTGCGCTTCCAGGGGAGCTGGCTGCCCAGGGATGAGGAAGGGTAACTGGAATCTCCTAGAACACACCCAGGGCCATCAGAGCTCAGGCTTACAGACTCATCTTCACACACCCGTGCAACACAGGGAGCTGGGATGCGTGGCTCGAGTCTTGTGATTCCTGGATCCCTCCCCTGCGAGCCAGACAGGCTGAGGTGGGACGTGCAGTGCGGCCCCAACGACTGAGAGGCAGGGCGGGCTCTTACCCACGTACTGGCCCGTCAGGCCTCAGTAGCTGGCCACATTGATGAAGAGGACATATTTGCCCGCGTACTGCTTGAAGGGGATATACTCCTCGCCATCAATGGTGAGCGCTCCGTACTCGTAGATGGTGCCGCTCACGCCGCTGTGACAGTCCGTCTGGAACAGAAAGGCCAACACCAGGGAGCGTGAGGGCTGCGAGGCGACTCAGACATCTCCATTTTTAAAATAATGAAATGTCCCAACAGGGAGGGTGATTTTCTCCAGAGCAACACCGAGAATTGGAACTGGGCTAGAACCGAGGTCTCCTAATTCCCTGTGTAAGATAATGGTTATAAAAGCACTTAATTGGTGCATAATAAGCGTTTCGTAACATTAAGCACTTAATAAGCGCGTATTACCATTAAGCACTTAAGCGCCTAATAAGCAAGCACTATGTAACCTGGAGAGTGACTTGTGATAATAACTTCTACACAGGTCAACTTCCGAACGCAGACCAGCCGTCAAGGGAGGCCGCCCTGCTGCTGGTGGCTGGGTGACTGCATGGGTTGATAGGGCCTGGCTGGGTGGCTGCTGCAGTGGCCCGGGAAGGTGAGGATGAGAGCTCGACACAGGCCAGTGTGAAGGTGGAAGTGTTAATATGGAGGGTGGGGACTCAGGGTCTCCGAATCTGGAGGTCTGAGAAGATGAGGCCGCTGCCATCCAGCAGGGAAGTGGGCCTGGGCCTGGCATGGGGAAGGCCTGTGGTGAGGACTCGACGTCAGGGGAGGGCAGAACGACGGCCTGCAAAGCTTCACGTCCCATGTAAGTGGGCAGCTGTGAGGGTGACCTCAGTACCCTCTCTCTGCCACGTTCAGTCGCCTCCAGGACAGGGAGGGCCGTGGGGTGGGCCACCTGGGTGCCACCTCTGTCTGCCACCAACTCCCTGTTTGGTCTTGGACTGACCCTTTCTTTTCTTGGGCCTTCGTCTCATTTACTGAGTGAGAAGCTCGGACTGGACCGGCTCTTCAACCCTGTCACCATGATGTCGTGACAGCACCACAGCTAGTGGGGAGGGGGTGGACCTCCTGCTCACCTGCAGGACACCACCCGGGACCCTGCTCTGCCCCAGACGGAAGAACTCTGGGTCTACTCTTGAAAGGGTGTCACTGCATCACTGGCACACGTCTGCAGGTGGCGGGGCGTGATGGGAAAGGAGAGTGTGAAGCTGTTGCATGCAGTGGTTGCTAAGGTCCTTTCTGGCCTGAGCATCCCTGAGAAGTGGGAAGACAGTGAACAGATGGCGCACACACTGGCATTACGGACGGGAGAGGGCGGGCCAGGCAGGAGTCAGGGAAGCACATTCTCTCCCTCTCTTCCCATCAATTCTGGAGGACCGGCTATTTTATGGAGGTGCCTGGGCCTAACTCCGTGGAGGGAGTGATCCAGGCAGCAGGGCGGGGCCCGGGTAGGGCACAGAAGCGCTGCCTGTCACGAGGCCTGTGGGGCAGGCGAGGCGGGCTCCCTCCACCTCACCCTCGGCTTCCTGGCAGCCTTGAACTCTCTTCCCAGCTCTGATGCAAATTCCCTGCTTTACATGAGTCTAACATTCCACACCCTGTGACCTGGGTGCTGAAGGCAGGCCCGAGACCTAAGCCCAAACATTCCTCCTGCCCCCGGGCCTCCTTGTCCCCAGCTGCGGGTCAGTTCCATCTTAAAATGGAAACCAGGGCGCAACAAACACTCCCCAGCCAGCCACAAAGGCCATAAAGGTCTGGCAGCCAGAAAGCAAAGCATGGCCACGCCTCCCCGCTCCTCTCACTCCACTTTCATCCAAAAATGAACTTGGACTTGGAGAGAGAAAAAAAGAGAGATTGTGCAAATAACGAGATCTTATAAACAACAGGAGGATCCGCTTCCGGGCCCAGTTTCAGGGTGGAGCTGGGCCGGGGAGCTCACTCCATTAGGTTTACTCTTTGCTGGTTGTATGGCCCTGGGAAAGTCATTTTCCCTCTCTGGGCACAAACTGTCCAAGGAGATAAGTATGCTGCTTTCCAAAAGAGTGGTGAGACTACTAGCAGATGAAAACAGGCTTGGAGCCGGGCTCAGTGGCTCAGCCTGTAATCCTGCGCCTTGGGAGGCTGAGGTGAGTGGATTGAGCCCGCAGGTTTGAGACCCGCCTGGGCAACTTGGTGAGACCTCATCTCTACAATAAATAAAAAAATCAGCTGGGCATGGTAGCACGCACCTGTGGTTCTGGCTACTTGGAAGGCTGAGGCGAAGGATCGCCGGAGCCCAGCAGCTCGAGGCTGCGGTGGCCGGGAGCGGCCACTGCACTCCAGTCTGGGTGACTGAGTGAGACTCCAACTCAAAAAAAAAAAAAGAAAAGAAAATGAAAAGAAAACAGGCTTGGAAGCTCTGGGAAGGAGAGCCCACGCCAAGACACAGTGGTCACCTTCCTGCAGCAGGTAAAGGGCCCAAGGCTCCCACGGTGCTGTCAAGAGGCCTCTGATGCGCTCTAGCTGGCATGAAGATGCTGTACTGGGCAGGGTGTGTCCAGGAGGAGAGAGGAGGGACAAAGCCCCCACATCTGCTCCTGGGGCCAGCGAGGCTCGTGCTGTGGGCTTGGCCCATGGGGGTCAGAGGGCGGCCCGTGGGTGGGAAGGCCACGGCCTGCCTGCACCACTGAACACGCAACTCAGTCCTTACGTGAGCCCCTTCCCTCCTCTGGGCCTGTGAGTCCAGGACCCTGCACCTGGGGCCAGGGGAGGGAAAGGAGAGGCGGCAGGGCCTCGGTCCTCCCACAGCTGGGTGAGGGAAAAGTCCTGACGAATCAAGAACCGGCCAGCGGGACCCAGCCAGGACCCGGGGCTCGGGCTGCCGCTCTGGGGTCTTCCTCTTCCTATCTCATCCTCCCCTTCAACATGCTGTGAGAGAACCGCCCGGGAGGCAGGAGGCCTGAGCTCTGGGCCTGCTATGTGACTCTTCTCTGGGGCTGCGGCTCTTCCACTGTCAGCTGGAGTCCACGCAGGGCTGTCGTAAGGGCCCTTCAACTCCGGCAGTCTGTGGCTCCATGATTCTCTGTCTGGTTTAGTCACCTAGAAACCAGCGGTTACTAGGATCCCATGCACGTCAGCAGCTGTTTCTCTCCAGCTTCTGCAAAGCCCTCCTGTAGGAGTGAGGACAGAGAGCCCGGGCAGCTTCAGGCCGGACTGGGGAGGGACACAGTGAGAAAGGAGGATTGGCTGGGTGTGGTGGTTCACATCTGTAATTCCAGTGCTGTGGAAGGCCAAAGTGGGAGGATCGTTTGAGCCCAGGAGTTCAAGACCAGCCTAGCCAACAGAACAAGATCTGTTCGCTACAAATAATAATAATAATAATAATAAAAATTAGGCCAGGCACAGTGACTCACACCTGTAATCCCAGCACTTTGGAAGGTGGAGGTGAGAGAATTGCCTGAGTCCAGGGATTTGAGATCAGCCTGGGCAACTTGGTGAGATCTTGTCTCTACATAAATAAAAAAATTAGCCAGGTGTGGTAGTATGTGTCTGTAGTTCCAGTTACTTGGGAGGCCGAGGTGGAAGAATCGCCTGAGCCAGCGGGCCAAGGTTGCGGTGGCCGTGAGCGTGCCATTGCATTCCAGCCTAGGCTACAGAGTGAGACTCCTACTACAAAAAAGAAAAAAAAAATAGCCAGATGTGGTAGCACACACCTGTAGTCCCAGCTACTCAGGAGGCTGAGGCAGGAGGATTGATTGAGTCCAGGAGGGTAGCCACAGTGAGCCATGATCATGTCATGGCACTCCAGCTTGGTGACAGGATGAGACCTTGTCTTTTTTTTTTTTTAAGGACTCCTTTGTTCCCTATCCCCTTTCTTTGAACTGGGAGGAGGCAAACATCTCACTGGGACTGAGTTACCTTTTGTGCATTCCATTCTCCACATGCCCCCCACCATCCTTTGCCCTGGGTTTGGGGGTAAGGTAAGTGGTTAGGTTCTAAACCCAGAGCTATGATATCTCAACCCTAAGAAACTGGGAGGAGAGATGGGCATGCCCAGGCCGTCATCAGCCCACAAGTCCTGGCGGGTTGTATCTGATAGGATCTCACCTCACCCTAAAATTTTCCTAGGCCATATCCAGTCTGTTCTCTCCGAATCCTTGCCTCCCTCCCCAGAGTTCTGTGGAGAGCACACGGCTGCGATGGGTTGTTACGGGGTCCATGCTCTCTGCTCCTTCTTGGGGCGGAGCCCAGCCGTACGTCTCTGACTCTCCCCACACTGAGAGGTTGGGACTGACTCTACGGTGCCTGCCTGTACTCTGCCCCCCACCTTTACCCCACACCCCAGTCTTGAGGCTCAGACTGTGAACAGGACTGGGTGAAAAGCAAAGCAGGAGACTTGGACATCCTTCTGGTCTCTAGACTGACCCCAAGGAGGGCTGGCTAATGGGACTTAGGCTGAGGACAAAAAGGGCATTAAAAGCAGACAGAAGGAACCCTGTGCGGGCAATGGCTTCCTGAGAAGTGGATGGAATTTTGAGACAGAATCTTGGACTCGTAAGATCTTAGTAAAAGCCGGGCTCGGTGGCTCAGCCTGTAATCCCGCGCCTCGGGAGGCTGAGGTGAGTGGATTGCCTGAGCCCACGGGTTCGAGACCTGCCTGGGCAACTTGGCGAGACCTCACCTCTACAATAAATCTCAAAAATTAGCCGTGCGTGGCAGCATGCCCCTGCAGTTCCAGCTACTTGGAAGGCTGAGGCGGAAGGATCGCCAGCGCCCAGCAGGGAGGCTGCGGTGGCTGGGAGCGGCCACTGCACTCCAGTCTGGGCGACAGAGTGAGACTCCAACTCAAAAAAATAAAATAAATAGATAAATAAAAGATCTTCGTAAAGACCCAGAGGATTCTAGAATCACAGAGGCTCAAAGCTCAGGCTTGTAGAAGCGTGTGCTTGGTGTGCCTGTGCGTGCAAGCATGCTGGGAGGTTGGCTTCTGTCCCCCAGACCCCTGCCCCTGCCACCTTCCCTCTGTGCCCCCCTCCCCCAAGCGGAGAGGTCTACAGGGCCTACCCAGAACTACTGACCACGGGATGCCTCAGCATCCCCACTGCAGCTAGGGGGCACACACCCCGCTGGGGACAGCCAGAGGCTCAGGAGAAGGCTGCCTCTTCGCAGCCAGCAGCCAGCTTTCTCCAACCACCAACCTTGCTCAGGTCAATGTGGGCGGTGGGTCCCGGATGCGGAGGCTGCGCACTCCCACCCCCCTCGGGAAACTTCAGAGAACAGTGTATGGACTTGCCAGCTTCTCCAAGCATCCCCTACCCCCTCCCACCTCCTGCAGACAGAGAAACTGAGGACCAGAAAGGGATCGCGACAGCCCTGAGTGTCGTGCACGCCAGCCCAGAGCTCTTTCTGTCCAGGGCTCTGCGGCGCCCACCCACGCCCTGGAGCCCCAGGGGGCGTTTCTACCCGTGCCTCATTCTCGGCGGGAGGAGCCCCCAGCAGTTCTTCAAGACCAAGGTCCTCTCCTTCTCCTCGCCCGTCAGTCTCCCTGCGGGCGTGCACGGCCCACCTGCCCTCAAGCCTCGAGGCCCCGTTCTGTGCCCAGGCCCAGCGGCGCGCCAGGGACGTGGCCGGGCCACCCCGACGCAGCAGCCGGAGCAAGCGCAAACTCTCCAGAG